CATTAAGTTGGTAGGCTTTGTAAAAACAATAAAAATTATTTCATTAAACCTTTTACCTAATACTTTTTTACTATATGGATAATTTAATGGTTTATATTTTTTATGTAAACCTCTAGAGGTTGATATTTTTTATGTAAAACCTTTTCTTATGCTTAGAATATATGTTTTAACTCATACAACCAACCCTTATTAATTTAAAAAAAAAAACAATTATTTGATTTAAATATCAAATTCCCAAAAAAAAGTCAAAACATTATAAATTTGTGCACATGTGTACATCAAACAAAACATATAAGGTTAAATCACTTTATTCATTATTTAATTACTTTTTATTAAGTTAAATATATTATTATACAATTAAACAATTGAAATTTAAACTTTGAAAAAATAATAATAATAATAAACAATGCATCATCATCACTTGTTATTGCTCCTACATCATGTAGGAGAAGAAAACTATATGAATATCAAGGTCAAAATTATTTATTTCAATTCAGTTCAAACTAAAAAGTTTTTTTATTAAATGGTTTGGCAAATGTAATTATTTATTTGTTTTTATAATTCATAATAATAATAATAATAATAATAATAATAATAATAAAGATTTTATAATAAATAATAAAGAAAAAAAAATAATTAAATAATATTGTACTTTTGTAATCAAATCCAAACAAAATATGTGTGTGATGTTTATATGAATAATCAATTGTTTTATTATTATTATTATTATTATTATTAAACTTTATATTTATATTTTTTTTTATTTACAAAATGGATTTGTATACAATTTTTAAAATTTTTATTTTATTTTATGATTCATGAAAATGTAATCGAAAAAAAATGTAATCGAAAAAAAATGATTTTTCAAAAAAAAAAAAAAAAAAAAAAGAAAGTTGTTTTTACTGAAATTTACTATCATATAGTTTTTCTAATAATAATAATAATAAAGTATAGTTTTTTTTTATTTCAATTTTTTTTTTGAATCAATAATAAATATAACATTTGATTTGTTTAAAATTATTCTTTAAAAAAAATAAATAAATGTATTTTTTTTCTATTTTTTCTATTTTTACCATCAAGTTAAATTTCATAAATTTTTACGGGTTTATATCAAAAAAAAAAAAAATAATAATAAAATTTTATGGAATTTAATTTTCACAATATAATTTCAGAAATAATAATAATAATAAAAGAAAAAAAAGAAGAAAAAAATTAAAATTATAAACATTCTTGATATTGCAATAAAATGAACATACACAGACGAATTTTAGAAAAAGAAAGAAAAATTAAATTTTCTTATTAAAAAACCCGTTATAGAAAATTTTTCTTTTAAAAAGCATTATTATTATTATTATTATTATTATTATTATTATTTTTTAAATTGTCAATTTAACTTTTGCAATATATTTCTCCAGTTTTTTTGTTTTTTTGTTTTTTTTTTTTTTGTAAATAAATTAATCGAGTTTAAAATAACGTGTAATTTATGTCAAATTTATTGACAAAAGTTTTTATTTTTTTTAATTTAATAAGTTATTTATTTAAATGGAGAAGTAAAAAAATATCGATTATCACTAATTTTGTGTTTTTTAAAAATATTTTATCCTTATTTAATGTAGAATTGATAATTGCCATCGACATTTTGATTCCAGAGGAGAAGAGTTTAAACAACACATTTTCAAAAAACCTCATAAACTTTTACATAAATAAATAAATAAATAAAATGTAATTATTATTATTATCATTAATGTTATGTGTAAATATATGTACGTTACACATTACACAACCCCAAATATTATCCAGATCTAATAATATAAATTTCATTTGGAAAATATTGTAAAAATTGTATAATTTATAATTTTTAAGGTGGGGCAAAGACGTTA